AATCAGGCCCAGCACAAGGGACAAAACTGATCCATTTCAAGGCAAAACCGGACTCAAATCTCAGGCCAAACCGAGCCCAGGAAAGGGGCAAAAATAGTATAGAACTTTCAGCTAAAATCCAATCCAGAAGAAGCCAAAACCGAGCCCACCAAATGGGGAAAAGACAATACAAAACCTTCAGCATTTATTTGGAAAGGAATAACAATAATAAAGCTCAAGAATCAAGTCCCAAATCATCCTTTCATTCAACATATGATTCGAATAAGGAAATAATAGGAAATATGGAAAATAAAATAATTCTCTAACAAAAAGATTTCTTCCAACATGCTTTTCAAATAAGGGCACCAACAATTATTCCATCAGCATGTATTTTAAATAAGTAAATGGCAGCATAAGAAATCTGAAAAATTAAATGTCCACCCAACATGCAATTTGAACAAAGAAGATAGCCACGGGGAGCCAAAACTAAGCCCCAAATTGAGAATAAATCTGAGTTTTTCTTTTCTCAAATAATTTCATTGTGCAAGCTTCCCTAGCATCCTTCACATTTTTCAGAAAATGTATTTTTGATTTAAGCATTTCACTCATATGTTCCAGCTCCCCAATTCCATAACCATTCTCATTCCTAACATTAAACTCAATAAATGCTTAAAGTGACCGAATTTTCCCAATTCCAGGTGCATTAGAGAACGCCTTCAGGGGCAATTCCACAGATTAGAAAACTTACTTTAGCAAGTGTATTCAAGGGCCACTCCAAGTGACGAATTAGAAAGATTACTTTAGAAAATACATTCAGGGATATTCCAAGTGACAGATTAAAAAGATTACTCTTGTTGCTAGACAAGAAATCATCAGAACAAAATCTCCTAAACACATCTTTATCAATTACGAATCCATTAAACCCAATGTATGATAATAGGGTAAAACAGATGTCTCCTCTGAATGCTTGTAAAAAGAAGGATGAAGAAGATTACCTCTTGATGTAGATTCAATAGTAAACTCAAGAACTAGCCTAAGGAAATAAAAATCAGCAAAAACCTCCTTTAAGATCCTTGATGCAAAAGAGATCCCGAAAGCCTCGAAAATACAACGACAAAATGTTCACGATCAAAAAAATGCCCCAAATCCTCTCTTCTCCTCTCCAAATTTTCAACAACCCAGAAAAGTACCTAAGAAGCCCTTTTATAGGCAGAGATGAGAGGGGGCAGCCACCTACCTCAATTTTGTGGTTGAATCAAACAACGGAGAAGGAATCGTCACAATAAAGAAGGAGAAGGGTCGGTCAACCCAGCTCCCGTGATTGGAGAGTCGAACGGCCACGCGAGGGAGGAGCAGATTCGAGAGGAGGCGGCCGCGTGGATCGTCCAAAGGAGCTAAGGCACACAGAGAGAGCGAGTCGACCACCTGATCGAATCGCGGGGGTCAAATGAAGGCTAAGTGTGCGGGAAAGAGGGTAAATAGGGTTTAGGATTAAAATTAATATTATAAGTAATAATATAAATATAAAAGTATTTAATATTTCAAAAATAAGAATTTGATTTGTACATTGTATTCGTGTGTTATAGGATAACAAAAATGGATGTCCTTTTTAGGTAATTTTGACATTTCGGACATGTTGGTGTTGTCTGTTTCACAGTCGGAGATAGTTTTAACGAATTCATCGATTTACGTGTAATTTGCTTGTGTCGAAAATTATAACAATATGGGTGTCTTTTCTTGCTAAAATTGATGTCTCGGACGCGTTGACGCAGTCCATTTTGTCGTCGGAGGCCGTCCGGAGAAATTCACATTTTCACCCATCTTTTAAGCTCAACTTTAGCCCAATATTGTGCAACTTAGTGCATTTTGTACATTTTGTGTGTGTGTGATGATAAAGTCCTGAAGAAGTTTTCCTAGGGCTTGAGATCCTATTGGGAACTTCTCCTTGTGTCTTCACATAATAGTCATTAACCACTCGACCGTACGATGATAGTTTTGAGACCATCAATGTGAGACATCACAAGAGAAATAGGAAGTGACTGGAATTTCTAAGGGGATGAATTCCAATATTAGTTTTCTAAGATAGCCAATAGGAACCCCTAGAGCTAGATTCTAGGATACTAAAGAAAAGAGTAATGGCCTCAAAATGAGGTCAACAGAGCACTGAAAGTTCCTCAGACACCTACAACAGAAGTTAGAAGATCTAGTGGAGTGAAACATCTCATACAAAGGTATTCGCTTTCTTTACACTATTTGTCATTAATTGATAGTGGTGACCCAAAGTACTTTGAGGAGGTCACTCAAGTTAAAGATTTAAAAGAGTTGGAGCTCGTCATAAATAAAGAAATGCAATCTATGGAGTCAAACCAAACTTGAGATTTGACGGTAATACCAAATGGCAAAAGAGCGATGCACAATAGGTGGGTCAACATGCTGAAAAAGGAGTCAGGTGGCAGCAAGCGCTACAAGGCAAGACTTGTTGTACAGGGTATTCAATAGAAAGAATAAGTGGATTATACATAAATTTTCTCCCCAGTGGTGGAGAAGAGAATTGTCAAGATTGTGCTGAGTCTGCTAGCAATGGAAGATCTACATCTGGAGCAGATGGATGTAAGAGCAGTTTTCTTACATGGTGATTTGGACCATGAGCTATATATGGTGCAGCCACAAGATTAAGATGTTCCAGGCAAAGAAAGTTTGGTCTATAATTTGAGGAAGAGACTCTATGACTTGAAACAGACCCGAGACAGTGATACAGGAGGTTTGACAGGTTTATTTCAGAAAATGGGTACTTAAAGTGTCTGGCAGAACACTATTGTTTCATCAAAACTTTGGTAGTTGTTATATTTTGCTTCTTTTGTATGCAGATAACATGTTGATTGCAGAAGCAGATATAAAGAGAATCAGGAACTTGAAGAATTAGTTATCAAGTGAGTTCGAGACCAAGTCCAACCAAGAAGATCCTCGTAATGAGAATCAACAGGGACATGAGTGCAGGAACATTGAAGTTGTCTCAGGCAGAGTATGTTGAAAAGATCCTATAGAGGTTCAACAAGAGTAAGGTGAAACCAGTTAGCACTCCCTATGGTAGTCACTTCAAACTATCTAAGGAGTTATCGTCAAACTCTGAAGCAGAGCAAGCACATATGGAGAAAACTTCATATGCTTCGACAATTGGAAGTTTGATGCAAGCGATGATTTGTACAAGACCAAATATTGCATGTGCAATAGAGGTGGTTAACAAATACATAGGCAATCTAGGCAGACTTCATTGGGAGGTGATAAAATAGCTTCTCATAAGTTTGAGAGGAACAGTCAACATGGCACTTTATAATGGAAATATTGAGATTTATTGATTCAGGTATGGAAAAAGTGTTTATTGATTCAGATCTGGCAGAAGTGTGAACAGTGGGAGAAGTACAACACGGTGTATCTTCACATTGGAAAGCACAGTGGTGAGTTAGGTTTTCAGGTTGCAAACAAAGGTCGAATATGTTTTTATTGTTGATGCTAGCAAAGAGATAATTTGGGTACATAATTTCATGGTTGAATTGGGCAAAGAGCATGAAATTGAAAAACTCTACAACGACAGTATGAGTGTGATTCATCTTGCTAAGAATATTGTTCTCATGTCAGAACGAAACATATCCAGTTCATGTAGCATTTCATTGATATCTTCCAGAAAATTGGCAGCTATTTCTGAGATACATACAGCTAAAAATCATGAGGATATGTTGACGAAGATGGTCACTATTGAGAAACTAAAGTTGTGTTTATCTTTAGTTGAGTTTCATGAAGGTTAAGATCGGGGGCGAGCCACACCAAGATATGTGACCACGGTATGTGACTATGAAGGTAATTCAGATGGAGGTGCAGGTACAAAGGACTGGACTTGGTGTTATCAATCTTCAAGTGAGAGATTGTTAGCTGTGGAATCTGATTGTAGCACCCATTGAGCAGCAAGCTGGCTGGCTTCCACACTGTTAGTGCACCTGACGCCAAGTCGTCGGGCTATGGGCACTTAAGCATCCGTTGAGTGTTCGCATACCGAGAAGGTGGAAATCATGCGCCCAAATTGGGCGCTTAGGCGCCCACTTTTGGCACTTGGGTGTCACTTCTAGTGTTGGGGGCCTATTTCTAGAGAGCTAGGCACTCATGCGCCCAAATTTCGGGCAACATATGTATGGGGTTTGGTGTGTAACTCTTCTGATTTGTTCATCAACAAAATCCTGGTGAATGCGAGAAGGATTCTGGTGTTTTCGACGTGTGTTCCTGTGTCAGATCAATAGGAAGAGTGTGGAGTGGAGCGCTATAAGCTTCTTCGTGTGAGTGTGGAGAAAAAACTTGTGTGAATCTTTTGTAAAACACTCTGAAATTTATAGTAAAATTTGTGTTGGTGTGACTCCATAGTTTTTACTTGTTCTCGAGTTTTTCCACGTAAAATTCATGTGTTCTTTTCCGGTTATTTTTTATTGTGTTTCTGGTTTAAATTTATCGTTTCGATTTTCTCAAATCCTGTGATCCTATTTCGATGTGACATTGAGAATTGTAGGAGGATTCCCAACATCCCTTGACAATAACTTCCCATAATTCAAAGTTCTAGAAGACAAAAAAGCTCAAAACATCATAATGGAAAGATGCATATCATGGAGGATGTCACCATAAGGCAAAAAGTTTAACCATTCTCAAAAGAACCCTTGGGATAAAAATGATGGGCATTTACAAACCAACCACCAAATTCTTATATATCTACATATCTAACACCTAAACTTCAATTTTACATTTATACCGCCTAAATATTTCATATCACATAAAAAAATATCACAATTTTAAGTTAAAAAAAGTGAATTAAACCTTTTCATGCATAAATAAGGTAACAGATATACAGATTGAATTCTAGGTGCTAGATATGTAATACATAAAAATTGAGTGCAGTACATGTAAATCTTCCTAAAAAATATCAGAAAGAAGTTAAATCAGAACTATTTCTCTGAATAAAATATTTCATATATCTGACTTACTCCCATCTCGCTTGACATAGCGTTGCAATGCAAGCTGATAATCATTTGCATGACATCCATTTCCAGAGAAAAAATAACTGAGCGAGGAGAATAGTCCTGGGTGGCAGAAATTGTTGACTCTTGTAACACAGCAATCGGCAGGAGACCAAAACCATCTAGAAATAAGCCTTACCTTCAAGGGTTATTAATGAAATGCCAGTTAAATGTGTTTCACCGGGAACTGCCTCGGCTCCTGCTTTGATGGCCTTGAATATAGAAAATTGTAATAGATCAGAATATTGTATAAAAGATAATGCAAAAGCATAAGAATGCTGAAAAAGCACCTTTGTGGCACATTCTTGAAGAACAGGAAAGTATTGTTGAGAAATTCCAATTTGTTGAAGCTGTTGCTTGGCCTTGTCGCCAGTCCAACTAAAGGAATTGCATCGCATGCACCAAAATGTAGACATGATGAACACAAGAAATGAGGTTTTTCAATCATCTATATTAAATTGGATTTCTAAATTAATTTTATAAAAAAAATGTTCTTCAAATAAGAATTATTTGGGATTGGATATAATTAAATTTGAATTCAAATAAAGTTGAATTCATACTAAAAATCATGTTTCCATGGAAAGAATATTGATGAAATGCATTTTATATATTCTTGAAGCCATACATGCATGCATACATACATTCATACATACAAACATATATATATATATAAGAAATACTAAATGTTGGAGTATGTCAAGAAAGAAGTAAATTTTGCCTGATATATCAATGCTAAAAGCTATGTCCCATGCATAAATGGTAATTTTTCCAACAACAAATTTTGATGAGCCCTGAATTAAGATTATATTAAAAGGCAATACTCCGGTTCAGGACCAAAGAAAAAATTAATACCAGTTTTAAAAACCTATAGTGCAATCTATATTTCAAGAAAATTGAAAAAAAACATTAGACTTTATGTTTTTAAATTGTTTCATAACAGCCCAACGTTGAAAAAGACATAAATACGATGTACATTAAGAAAAGCATCACAATCCAATGACATTTAAATGCTTCTACTAAAGAAAATGAAGCATGCACAAAGAGAATTTGCATTAAGGAAAAAAAAAAGAATCGATGAAAGAAAAAACTCACGTTGACAAATAATGCTCAAATTCACATCTCTGCAAATTATCTTTCCTGATATTGATCCAACCTACAATTCCCTGAAGATTTAATAAAAGATCGTAAAGTGCAACAGATAAATGTAATATTTCCAAGTTACAACTTAACAGCTATAAAACATACCTGAATGACATCATATAGTGGTCTGTATGTCATCTCAAGATTATCATTCATGCACAACTGCCCCAATTCGGCCTGAAGTGCTTCAGAACAAAATTAATTACGATGAGAGCATTATTTAAACTAATAGATATAATGAAAAGTAGTTTTCCAACCATGAAGCACATCTTCTTCAATATCCACAGTTCCACCATCACGCGCCATGTCTTCAACATTGCTATTCAAAAGGCATAGAAAGCAAAAGATATATTTACAAACAGATGTGTGAAATGCAAGTCCAAACTAATTTAAAGGGGCATTAACATACATCTTCCAAATTCTTTGTCTGCAAATACTCCTTAAAACAAAATTAGCGAAAAAATCTAAACAATTCTAAGTACATTAGGCAAGGTTGTGCTTAAGAAGACTAGCACAGCAGATTGCTTGAGTGCAAAATAACAAGAAATTTGCATGCATACTGCACAATTCTTATGGATTTACCTATCTAATACCTGAAGTTTGGTATTTATATTTATAGCATCTTGGTGCTATAAACCCACGCATAAAAAAGTGCATTTGTGCATTAAAAGGTTGGTAAAAGTGGTATTTTTATGTGATGTTATATATTTAAGCGTCCTGAATGTAAGTTTAGGTGTTAGATATGTAAATACACAACAATTGTGCGGTGTGTATGTAAATGCCCCTGAAAAAAATAAAGTAATGTGTAGTTAACAAATATCTCTCGCATTTTAAAATGGTTAATACAGCCAAATCTATAAACAAATCACAAAGTTGATATGGTTGCAAAATTTGCTTTTGGCATAGACTTTTCTAAACAATTTAGAAAGCATACTGGGCCTCATCAAGAATTAGAATGGATCCTTTGATATCAACATCCATAGCTCTCCGAACAATTGGATTTATGATGTAGCTATATGGGCAAAAGACTAACTGTGCTTCAGCCGCAAGAGTTTGAGCAGCAAAGTACGAACAACCTGAAAATGAGAGGGGAAAAAAAAAAAGCATTAGTGCAAAGTCCACGAAATTGCAACTTTTCCAAATTAAGTGGTTTAGCGTCTATAGACTGTAGTAGCTCAAACCTTTTACACGTTGGCCAATGCTTACTAGGTCCTCTATATCATGAACCTCAAAACACCCACCAATCTGAAGAGAAGGATGATTTCTGACTTTGTTTGCATTTCTGATTGCAAATTACATTAGTATCGCTTCAAACATGACATATATGTTTATGTATGTGTGTATGTGTGTATGTGTGTCTATATATATATATATATATATATATATATATATATACACACACACACACACACACACACATAGAGAGAAAGAATGAGAGCTGAACAGTTTTAACCAAATTTGAATCTACTAACTTGAACTCAAGACATCCTCCAATGGTGTCCTTTAGGAGCAATTTACTGCAACATGACCAAAAGTATCACAGAGAGTAACTGGTGGAAATGCCAGCCAGTAATCAACGGGGGTAAAGAATATACCATACATCGTCCACGTTTTCTTTACCACATACATATTTATTGGTACAATAGTGCTTCCGTGATGCCTGGGAAAGATAACAGATATCAAGTACTACCATTCCAACTAAAATAGCACAAAGCTTGATGAAAACAATGTAACCAAAACGCCAATGAGTTACATAGCACTGTCTAAATATTTCTAATCTTTATTCGTCAAATTGATATTTTCATAGTTAAGGATACTAAAGATTAAAAGAAAATGTACATACATTCCACACAATTCTTATTTATTTACATATATAGCAATCATAGTTTGATATTTACACTTATAATGTCATGGTATCACAGATATGTGCTTGAAAAATGTGTATTTCTCTTTTGAATGTGGTATTTTTTATGTGATATTAAAGATTTGAGTGGTATGCAATTAAATATGAATGTTTATGTGTTAAATATGTAAATACATAAGAATTGTGCGGTATGCATGTAAATAACCCGAAATTAATTTTGTAAATGAAAGCCTGGCCTACATAAGTTATCAAACCTGCGCATAAACGTAAAACATCATTTTAATCCAGAAACTATTTAAGAAGAAATGAACAAGAAATGAAAATAACCCCCCCCCCCCCCCCCCCCCCCCCCCC